GAATTCTTTCACTATTTCAATTTCCTCGTTGTCTAGATTGAATTTGTGCATTCTGTCTGTGGTCATTATTTTTGTTTTCTTTATGTTCAGCATCAGACCTGCCTTTGTACTTTCATTTTTGACCTTTATTAATTGTTCCAATTCTTGAATGTCTTTTACTAATAATATGGTGTCATCTGCAAATCTTAGATTGTTAATGTTGTTTCCTCCTGTCTTAATTTCTCCTTTTTCTGATTCTAATTCTGCTTTTCTTATGATGTTTTCAGCATATAAGTTAAACCAGTAGGGTGATAGGATGCAGCCTTGCCTGACCCCTTTGCTTATAGGGAACCAGTCTGTTTCCCCGAATTCTGTTCTGACGGTAGCCTCTTGTCCTTGGTACAGATTCCTCATCAGGACTATCAGATGTAGTGGCACCCCCATGTCTTTGAGTGCATTCCATAGTTTTTCGTGATCTATACAATCAAATGCTTTGCTGTAGTTTCTGAAACACACACTGATTCTTTTTTGGAATTCTTTGGTGTATTCCATTAGCCATCATATGTTTGCAATGTGGTCCCTAGTGCCCCTTCCTCTTCTGGGTCCTGCTTGCGCCTCTGGAATTTCTCCATGTATGGTTGGAGTCTATGCTGCAGAATTTTGAGCATTATTTTGCTTGCATGTGAGATTAGTGCTATTGTCCTATAGTTGCTGCAGTCTTTTATATCTCCTTTCTTGTGGATTGGTATGTATATCAAGCATTCCTGTCCAAAATGGACAGGAATGGTTCACTTTGACTCGGACAAGCACATAGTCAAAGGATACAAGGCAAAATAATGTCCAGATCACATCAATATGCAATGACAATTAGTCTTGCATCTGTGACCTCTTACAATCTTGAGAATGCTCCAGCGGGCTCTGCCTGATTTGGTTCTGTATATATTTACTGTCTCTGTTCCAGTGTGACATGTACCACCAGTGAATGTATATTTTAAAGGTCATTATAGTAGGACCAGTATTTCCTTGGGCAGTGACCCCCTCCCCATGTACAATCCCATCTGAGAAAACCAGGGTGCACAGCCATGGCAAATCAGCAGCCAAAGGCAGTGGGGGAAACCTCAGTATCATCTAATTTTTGCTAAGCATTCAAAGACAGCCATGTTTGTCTTGATCAGTATACAAAGGGATCTTGTAGCACCTTTGAGCAGGGTGAGCAGACATCCTCCTTTTCCAGGACATGTCCTACATTTCAGCCTTCTGTCCAGGATAAATTCCAAAGTGTCCTCCATTTTGAGCATGACCAAGAAGCATGCATGTGTGTGTGCATACACGCGTGCGTGTGTGTTTAGCTTTTGTTTTGCATTTTATAGTACCTTGTCCTCCTTTGTGGTTATGACATCTGGTCACCCTGCCTTTGAGACTGAGAGAAAGAAGTTGGTAGCATAAACTTTTGTAGACTTAAGGCTACTTCATCAGATGCATGCATTGAAGTGCCTAGGAACAGACCTGTATAGCTAGATCACCCAGCAAGATCACCCAGTAGGTTTCATGGCCAAGTGGGGATTTGAACCCTAGTCTCCGGAATTATAGTCCAGTGCTCAAACCACTACTCTACACTAATATTTCTCAAATTTAATCAATATTCTTAGCAACCCTGGTCCATATCCTGGCATGGTTCTGGATTTATGCCATGTTAAGAAAGTGCAGGAGACCAGAAGCCAAAAACCCATCAATACATTTCTCCTAGAGTCAGAAAACATTTCCTGCTGTGTCATAGTTTTGATGTGGGGCATGAGGCAGCATCTTGATGTTATAGCACTTTCCCCGGCGTGAGTTGACACCAAAAAGACAATCCATACATCATTTTAAAGCCCTTCAGTACAAAAGGAAGTAATTTTGCATGTAAAACTAATTATGTAGTAAGCACTAGCCCTCATACAGGTATCATTTTTTTCCTTCCCTCCCCACTCCTGTGTTGGAGAAATACCTATTGTTCAATACACTGGAGTTGGGGGCATTGTAGTAGTTATTTGTAGGATGCCATCTCCTTATCTCATCTACCTGGAAGAGTGAAGTGACAATTCCTATGGAGCTGTGCCACCCAAAGTGGTGGTCCCTGGCACGTTTCCAGGAAAGAAAGAATCAAATTGTAGCCAATGGGCCAAAGTTAATGTCAGTCCCTGGCACACTGGGGTAAAAAACAAACAAAAAAACACACACAACAAAACAGAAATGCTGTTCTCTCACATTAGATAGCTTCAAAAGCACTGCTATAAGGCATCTGGCAAGGAGACCTAAGGCAGTGTTTGTTGTTCCTGTGTGCCTTCAACTCATTTCTGACTTATGGTGCTCCTAAAGCAAACCTAACATGGGGGTTTCTACACCATTGTGGTGCAGTGGTTTGAGTTTTGGACTATGACTCTGGAGAAGAGGCTTTGAATCTTTCGCTCAGCCATGGAAACTCACTGGGTGATCTTGGGCAAGTCACACACTCTCAGCCTTAAGAGGAAGGAAAAGAGAAACTCTCCTCTGAACAAAATGTGACAAGAAACGGCAATGTACCTATAAGAATTTGGAAAAGCCACCTTTTAATAAGAGTATTCTCTTTCAATATTTGTTGTAAGGCCAATGTCTTCTTATGTCAGATACCTCTTCACCATCACTGCTTTGTGAGTGCTCCATGTTCTACAGGAGACCAGAAGGTACATCCTCAGGCAGCAGATCTGGTCATCTGAGTTATTGGGTCCCTAGGATGGGGTTCTGTATGTATGCTTTGACTGGTTACTAGGTTGTGTTGTGGCAGTGATGTTGGAGTAGGAAGCATAGGTCATTGCTTTGGGGCTCTCCATGAGCTACAGATGAGTGTTTCAGCTAGTATCACCTCTTTTGCTGGTGTAATTTATGACATCCTCAGAGGTAAGATCCATACCACAGGGAAGCTGAAGTACTGACTAGACTATTTTTAATTTCTCTACAACATTGTCCTGTCAGCATCACATTTTGCCAATGTAACTTTACATTGATGATGTTGGTAGTGTAGTGGTAACTGAACCACACAGCTGTAGTTATCAGACGTCTATCTGTGTAGTGACCACAGTACTGATATATTTTGAGTTTGATTTTGCTTTGATTTTGAGTTCCTGCATGGCAGGGGATTGGACTGGATGGCCCTTGTGGTCTCTTCCAACTTATTTCATACAACTATTTTGAGAACAAGTGCAGAGAAGAAGAAGGAGGAGGAGGAGGAACATGAACTTCTTTGTCTGGGATTTCTTCTCCTTGTTCATGATGTCTCTCTTCTTCTCTCCTATTCTTTTGTCAAAACTCACTTTTTCCATAAAGTCTAACTGCTTTACTCAGATTCTCCATCCTAAAGCATGCTTTGCAACTAGTGATTAAGCTTTATTGAACATAGTCAAGCATACTTCTCAGTAGACCGCCTTGGAATGAGCTGTTAATATCTGTATTGCATTTGCTCACATTGTACCTGCACAATGGCTCAGTCTTAAATCCATTTTGGGAAATGTAAACCAAAGGTTACTTAGGAGCCACTATAATCTAAATTTGCAGAAGACTCAGAACTGCTTGTACATATGTACAAAGCTTATCCAATATGCAGTGGTTGAAAAATACGTACCTTATTTCACATAAGATAGACACCGATTGACTCTTGAATTATTAGAAGCATATCCATAAAATAAGATAGGTTGCAGTCCATACAGAAATCCACCCAAATCAGTAGTTCTGTATGCTTCACAGTTAGATGCTTTGTACTAGAAGATTATCCCTCCATTCACGAATCCAATCAATTTAACACAGTCTGGAGATTTAGGTTACTGCACTCCACTGATGTGTCCTCTTCCTGCCTCCATTTCCTTAGCAGCAGTATACCTCATTTATGAAAGAAAGAGAAAAAGGACTGTGTTTGGTTTTTAGACAGAATAATTAACGTTCTGGTTTCACAGGCATGTTTCCTAACAATCAAGGTTGCATTTTTTTTTAAAAAAGAATCTGAATTACAGTTAAGGTTAAGGAGGAAGTCTTTGTTTATCCCTGTAAGAGGCATAAGAAGAGCTATCCTAGATCAGACCAAAGCCCAATCTAGTCTAGCATTTGTTCACAAAATATGGGAAACCCACAAGCAGGGCAAAACCTCAAAAGCACCCCCTGCTTCATATTCACCAAAAACATATACAGTCGTCCCTTCTGATTTGTGGGGGATCTGTTCCGGACCCACCCACCCCAGCAAATTGGGAAAACTGCTAATATCCAAGCCCCATGGATTTTAATGGCGGTGTATGCGCACACATGCCATTTTGTCCCTCCCCACTTGCTGTCTGTAAACACGGACTCCAAGTCTGCAAATGAGGAGGGACGAGTGTATAGAAAGTCTGTTGTCTTCCCCCCCCAGCCAAATAGCCCCAATAAAGGTATCACTATTGTGAATTTTGGATGTTATTGTACAGCCTCAAATGTCATAAACTTTCCTCATGATAGAGTTACTCCATTCCCTTGATCGTCTTAGATGTCTTTTTCTGCACCTTTTCTAACTCCATAATTTCCCCCTCAGTTGTGATTCCAAATGTGGATGCAACACAGATTTTGAGGTTTTGAAGAGAAAAGTGGCTTCTAAATTTTACTTGCAAGTGTGAGATTAGTTATGGTTTCTTACAACTATTTATTTATTTAATTTACATCTCACTTGGTACTGGACCCAAGGTGGCTCACATCAGCTTAAAAATAAATTAGAATCCTAGAATCATAGAGTTGGAAGAGACCACAAGGGACATCCACTCCAACCCCATTCTGCCATGCAGCAACTCTCAATCAAAGCATCCCCGACAGATGGTCCTCCAGCCTCTAAAGACCTCCAAAGAAGGAGGCTCTCCGAGTGAGTGCTTTCCACTTTTGAACAGCTCTCACTGTCAGGAAGTTCCTCCTAATGTTGAGGTGAAATCTCTTTTCTTGGAGCTTGCATCCATTGTTCCAGGTCCTAATCTCTGGAGCAGCAGAAAACAAGCTTGCTGCATCCTCCATATGACATCCCTTGAAATATTTAAACAGGGCTATCATATCACCTCTTAACCTTCTCTTCTCCAGGCTAAACATACCCAGTTCCCTAAGTCTCTCCTTGTAGGGCATGGTTTCCAGACCCTTCACCATTTTAGTTGCCCTCTTTTGGACATGCTCCAGTTTCTAAACATCTTTTTTGAATCGTGGTGCCCAGAAATGGACACAGTATTCCAGGTGAGGCCTGACCAAAGCAGAATAGAGTGGCATTATTACTTCCCTTGATCTAGATACTATACTTCTATTGATGCAGCCTAAAATTGTGTTGGCCTTTTTAGCTACTGCATCGCACTGTTGACATGTTCAGTTTGTGGTCTAATAGGACTCCTAGATCCCTTTCAGACGCAGTCGGGTTAAGCCAGCTGTTGCCCATCCTATATCTGTGCATTTCATTTTTCCACCCTAAGTGCAGTACTTTACATTTTATGTGTTGAACTTAATTTTGTTAGCTTTGGCCCAGCTTTCTAATCTATTAAGGTCATTTTGAATTTTCATCCTGTTCTCTGTTATATTAGCCAAGTGTTATCTGCAAATTTGATAAGTATGCCCCCTATTCTTTCATCCAAGTCATTGATAAAGATGTTGAATGGCACTGAGCCCAGGACAGAACCCTTTGGCACCCCACTGGTCACTTCTCTCCAGGATGAAGAGGAACCATTGCTGAGCATCCTTTGGGTTTGGTTGGTCAACCAATTACAAATCCATGTAACAGCTACCTTGTCTAGCCCACATTTTACAGCTAAAACCTATTTTACAGTTAAAACCTATTTGAAACAAAAGTTACAGAGACATTAAATAAACGACCCTGTTACAAACACTACATTACAACAGTTTAAAACACATTACAACATAGTAAAACCACAAGCACAATACATCCCATCCCATTACATACTCTCACTCTTAATGTCAATAGTTTCCACATGATCATTTGGCACATACACTTTGTCTGAGGTTGCATCTGCACTGCAGAAACAATTCAGTTTGGCACCACTTTAACTGCATGGCTCAGTGCTATGGATTTCTAAAAATGTAGTTTTATGAGACATTTAGCCTTTTCTGTCAGAGCGCTCTGGTGCCACACAAAGCTATAATTCCCAGAATTCTATATCATTGAGCCATGGAAGTTAAAATATTGTCAAACTGGATTATTTCTGCAGTGTGGATGCAACCTGAGTGATATTACACTTCATGTCAATTCACTACTACATCCACCTGGAAGTAGTGATGCTCCTCTTTTTTTCCTGCTGACAAAGTAGAACAGCTCATAGTCATAGCAGTATCAGAGCTAGGCAAAAGCCTCTGGAAGATGAATGATCTTTCCTACCTAGGGGAGACAATATGGCTTAGTGGTTAGAGTGTTTGGCCATGGGAGATCCATAATAAAGTCCCCAAAGAGACATAAAATTCACAGGATAATCTTGATCCGGTCATTCTCTCCAGGTTTGGCCTGCCTCATAATGTTGTTGGGAGGTTAAAATAGGGAGGAGGAGAACCATGTGCACCATCTTGAGCTCACTGGAGGAAAGCCAGACTATAAATGCATTTAACAGA